GTTGGGTTTTGTTTGGTTGGTTAGTTGTGGTGGGTTTTTTTGTTAGGGTGGGTTTTTTTTGGTTGGGTATGGTTTTAGGTTGGGTATGGTGGGTGGGGGGTTGTTGTTTGTGTTTGTTTTGTTGGAGTGTTTTTGGTGGGGGTTTGGTGTGGTTGTTTTTGTTGGTTTGGTTGGTTGTTTTGTTGGGTGTTGTTGGGGGGGAGTTTGGTGGTAGGTGTTGGGGTTGTATTTGTGGGGGGTTGGGTTTGGGTGGTTGTATTTGTTGGGTTTGTTTTTGGTGTGTTTGTTGTGAGTTTGGTATTATGTAGGTTTGGGTATTTTTATATGGGTGGTTTTTGTTGGTGGGTTTGGGTGGTTGTGTTTTGTGGGGTGTATGAGTGGTGGTTTTTTTTGTTTGTGTTGGTGGTGTGTGGTGGTTTGGTGGGGGTATGTTTTGGTGGGGAGTTGTTGGGGTGGTGGGGTGGGGGTGTGTTTGGTGTTTATTTTTGGTTTATGGTGGGGGTAAGGTGTGGGTGTTGGAGTTTGGGGGGTTGGGTGTGAGGGGTTGTGGGGTTGGGGGTGTTTTTTGTTTTTTGTTTTTAGGTTGGGTATGTTTATTGTTGTTGGTTTTTGGGGGGTATTTTTTGGTGGGTGTTTTGGGTTGGTGGGTGTGGGATTTTTTTGTTGGTTTGTTTAGTTGGGTTTGGGATTTAGTTGGTTTGTTTTATTGGGGTTTTTGGGTGGTTGGGGTTGTTTTAGGGTGGGGTGTATTAGTTGGGTATGTATGTTGTTTTGTGATGTGGGTGTTTGGTGTTGGTAGTTTTGGAGGGGGGTTTTTTGGTGTGGTTGTGGGTGGGGTTGAGGGTGTTGGTTGTTTGGTTGGGGTGTGGTTTTTAGGGTGGATTTTTGGTTGTTGGGTTTGTTTTTTGGTTGGTTTGGGTGTTTGGGTTGTTTGTGGTTGGGTATGTGGAGTGGTTTGTTTGGGGGGTGTTGGGGGTTTTTTTGGTTGGTTTTTTTGGAGGTGTGGGGTGTTGGGTTGGGGTGGTGTGTGGTGGGTTGTGTGTGGGGGGGTGGTGTTTTGGTGGGGGTGTGGTGGAGGGGGTTTGGTTGGGTGGTTGTGGTGTTGATGTTGTGGGGGGTTATGTATAGTAGTGGGGGGTGGTTTTTGTTGGGTTGGTTATTGGTGGGTTTTTTGTTGGGGTTTTGGTGGGGGTTGTTTTAGGTTGGGTAGTATATAGTTGTATTTTTGTTGGGGTATTGTTGTTTTTGTTGGTAGGTATTTTGTTGGGTATTATTTGTTTGGTATTATTGTTGGTATGGTATAGTTTGGTTATTAATTAGGTGGGTTGTATTTGGTTGGGTATAAGGTAGTGGGGATTAGTTGTATGTTAGTATAGGTATGGGGTTGGTTTGTAGGTTTGGGTTTTTATTAGTGTGGGGTATTATTGTTGGTTTTAGTATGTTGGGGGTTGGGGGTAAAAGGAGTGGGATGGTGTGGTTATGTTGTGGTAGGATTTTTGGGATTGGGTGAGATATGGTGTTTGTGTTTGGGGGGTGGTGGTGGTGTTTTGGTTGTTTTTTGGGTGGGGTTTTGGTGGGGGTGGGGGGGGGTTTGTGGGGATTGTGGTGGTGGGTGTAGAGTTGAGGAGGGTAGTTTAGTTTTTGTTATATTTGTTTGGTTGTTTGTTTGGGTGTGTGAGGTTTGTGGGGGTTTTTGTTGGTGTTGGTTTATTAAGGTTGTGGTTTGTTATGTGATGTTGGGTGGATATGATTTATTGTTGGGTAGAGTTGGAGGTAGTATATTGTGATGAGTTGGAGATGGTTGATGGGTTTTGGAGGTTGATTTTAGTGTTGTGGTTGGTATGGGAAAGAAGTAATGGGGTTGGGTTTATTGAAATGATATGGAAGAATGTGGATTATTTAAAGAAAGGGTTGAGGGATTTTGTTGGGTGGAATTGTTAGTTGTGTAAATAGTTGAGAAGAAGATAGATAAGAGGGGGTGGAAATTGGATTGAAATTGAGAGGGAGATTTAATGGGGAATGTAAGTTTAAAAATTTGGAAGGTGGAAGTTAAAGTGTGGAGAATTTTGGATTATTTTGGAGATGGGGTTTGTATTTTGTTGATTTGGATAGGGATATTGGTAGGGGAGAGTTGTTTTGTTGTGGGGTTGTGTTATTGGTAGGGGATGTTTGGGGGGAATATGGTTTTTTGGATTTGGTGTTATTGGGGATTTTGGGGTTGTGATGGGTGGAATATTGGGGTATATATGTGTTTGTGGTAGTTTTTGGGGTTATTTGGGTTTAGTATTTTTTGGTGTTTTAGGTGATATATTGTGTTATATGGTATTTGTGAGATTATGTGTTTGTATAGTGTTATTGGTGGATTATGTGATTTAGGTGGATTTAGGTGATATTGGTGATATTATGGTGGATTTATGGTGTTTTAGATATTTTATTTTATTAGAAGTATTTGTATGGATAGGGATTGATATTGGTGTTAGGTTTTTTTTTTTTAGTTTGTGTGGGTGTTTAGGAGTGGTTTAATTGTTTAATTTTTATTTTTATTTTATTTTATAGTTATTTGTATTTGGTTTTGTTTAATTTGTTTTTGTTTTTATTAATTTTTATTTATAATTTTTTAAGTTTGATTTTTAATTGTAATTTTTTTAATTTGTTATTTTATTTTTTTTTGTTAATTGTTTAATTTGGGTGTTTTTTTGGTTGTGTTTTAATGTTGTTGTATTGGGGTTTGTTTAAGTTGTATTTTTTGTTGATTGGGTTTTTTGGGTTGTGTGTTTATTGTTTAATTTTTTTGAAGGTTTTAAAGTTTTTGTAATTTGTATTGTGTTATGTGTTGTTTTGTTATTTTTATTTTTGGTTAATTGTTTAAATTGTTTTAGTTGTTTAATTTGATTGTTTGTTTAGGTGGTTGTTGATTTTAATTTGTTAAAGTTTGTTTTTTGTGGGGTTAGTGGGTGGTGTTGGGATGGAGTAGTTGTGTGTTGGTTGGATGGTGTTTGTGTGTTGTGTTTAGATGTGGGGTTGGTGTGGGTGTGGGTTGTGGTTTGAGTGTGTTGGTTGTTGGAGTTTGTGTGGTGTGTTTGTAGGTGGGTTTGGTGTGTGTTGGTGGGTAGTGGGTTGGTTAGTTGTGGGTTGTGGGGGGTTTGATGTGTTTTTGTGTGGTTTTTGGGTGTGTAGTGGTTTTGGTTTGGTTGGGAATGGTTTTGTGTGTTGTTTGTTTTGTGGAAGGGTGGGGTGTGGTGGTGTGAGGTGTTGGGAGGGTTGTTTGGTTGTGTTGGTGTTTGTGGATGGGAGGTTTGTGTGGGTTTGGTTGGAGTTTGTGTGTGTTGGGGGATTGTGGTTGGGTGTTTTTTTGGTTGAGGGGGGTTTGGGTGGTGGTAGAGGTTGTTGTTGTTGATTTTTTTTGTTTATTTGGTGGTTGTGGGGGGTTTTGTGTGTTGGTGTGTTGTTGTGGTTGGTGGGGTTTGGGGTTGGAGTTGGGTTTGTTGTATTGGGTTTGGTTTGGGGTTTGTTTGTTGTGTGTTTGTGGTGTTGTGTAGGGTTTTTTGGGTATTTTGTTATATGATATTTTTTTTGTTTTTTGTGTTTTGTTTTATGTGTTGTGTGTGGGAATTTTATAGGGGTTAGGGGAATTGGTTGGGGGTGGAGGGGTGTTGTTGGTTGTTTTGGGAGGTGTAAGGGGGTTGTTTTGTTGTGTGTTGTTGGGTGGTTTTTTGTGTTTGGGTTGGGTTGGGTGGGTGTGTTGGTGGGTTGTGTTGGGTTAGGGTTTTTGGGGGTTTTTGGTGGTGGTTTGTGGTTGGTTGGGTTGTATTTGTTTTTTGTTGTGGGGGTTTTTGTTGTTGGGGTTGTGTGTGTTGTTTTTTTGGTGTTTTGTTTGAATGTTGGGTTTGTTTTTTTTTGTTGTTTTTTTTGTTGTGTGGTTTTTGGTTGGGTTTTTTTGTGTGTAATATTTTGGTTGGAGGGTTGGGGGGTGTGGGGTTGGAGTTGGGGGGTTGTTTTTGGGTGTGGGTTTGGTGTTTGGTTGTGGTTTTTTGGGTTTGTTTTATTGTTTGGTTTGGTGTTGTGTTTTTGGGGTTATGTTTAGGGGGGTTGTTTGGGTTTTTTGTTTGTTTTGGTTTTGTGGTGTATTTTGGTTTATTGTATGGTTGTTTGGTGTGTTTGTAATGGGGTTTTTGGTGTTTTTTGTATGTGTGTGTTGTTTGTGGTATTGTGTAATGTTTGTATGTTTTTGTGATGTTATGGGTTATGGTGTTTGAGGAGTGGGTTTGTTGGGATATGTTTGGGATTTAGGATGGGGGTGGGGTGTTTGTGTATTTGTTGTTTGAGTATGTTTTGTTTTGTTTTGGTAGTAGGTGTTATTTGGGGGATGGTTTGTGTTGTATGGGTATATGGTTTTTTTTTGTGGTGTATTTATTGGTATTGTTTAAGTTGTATGGTTTTGGTTGTTTTGGTATTTTGTGTAATGTGTTAGGTTTTGTGTGTAATGGTATAGGTTTAATTAGTATGTTTGTAATGGGTAATTTGGGTATTAAATGGTGTAATGTATATGGTTTTTAGGTAATTGGGGTATATTTTATATTAGTATGTGTTTGTATGTAATTGGGTTTTTATGTGGTGAATTTGTATGGTTGGTGTTGTAATTGGTTTATGTTTAATTTATTGTGGTGGTGTGGATGTGATAATGGTTGGAAGGTGGTTGGGATATTTAATTTTGGATATGGGGTTTGGTTTTAGTAGGTGGTGGGGGGGTGGTTTATTGGGAGTGGGTTTTGATATTGAGGGTATGAGGTATGGAGTTTTTGGGTGTTGATTGGTGGTTTAGGTTGATTTTTTATGGGGGGAGGTAAGATAGAGTATGTGTATTGTATAAGAATTGTAGAGAGTTGGGTGGGGATTTGATTGTGGGTTAGAGTAATTATGATTATGGGGTTGTATGGTGTGGTAGTGTGTATAGGTTGTGAAATGGGTAGGTTTGGTTTTGTGTTGGTTATTGTGGTTAGATGTTTATGGGTGGGTGTTGGGGTATTTGGGGTGGGGTGGTTGGGGTGGGTGTGGGGGTTTGTGTTGTGGTGGGTGTTTGGGGGATGGGTGGTTTGTGTTTGGTTTGTGTGGGTTGTTGTTTTGTGGTGGGGGGTTTTTGTTTTGGGGTTTGTTGTGGGGGGGGTGGTGTGGTTTTGTTTGGTGTTGTTGATTTGTTGGTGTTGGTGGGGTTTGTTGGGGGTTGTTGTTTTTGTGTGGGGTGGTGGGTGGGTGGTGGGGGGGGTGTTTTGTTTGTGATGGGTTTGGGGTTGTGGGTGTTGTTTTGTGTGTTTTGTGGTTTTTGGGTTGTTTTTTTGTTGTTGGGTTGGTGGTGGTTTGGGTGGTTGGTGGGGGTTGTGTGTGGGTGGTTATTTGATTATTTTGTGGTTTTTTATGAGGTTGTTGTGGGTGGGTGTTGTTGTGTGGGGTTTGTTTGTGTTGGTGTTTTTTGTTGTGGGGAGGGGTGGGTGTGTGTGGTTAGTGAGTTATGTTTGTTGAGGTGTTTTTGTTGGTGTGGTTGTGTTTTTTGGTAATTGTTGTGGGTGTTTTTTGTTGGTGGTTAATTGATTTGGTTATGTTTATTTTGGGGTTTTTATTTTTGTTGTTTGGTGTTGATTGTGTTATAGGTTTGTTTATGTTATATTGGTGTATGTTTGGAGAAGTATTTGAGTGTTTGTAATGGGTGAGTGATGTAAGTTGTTATGGATAAAAGTTTGGGTTGTGTGTTTTGTGATTTGAGTTATAGGTTAATGTAGATTGATTTGTGTTGTGGTTTTTTTTATGAGATTGGTGTGATGTGAAGGGAGAGGGAGTTTGTGTGTAGAGAGAGTAAGAAGATTAGAGAGAGGAGAGAGTGAGAAGAGAGAATAGTAGATAGAGAGTTAAGTTTTGAAGTAGTGTTAGATTGAAGAGAAGAAGAAGAAGAGAAGAGGAGAGTAGATATGAATGTTTATAAAGGTGAGAAGTAAGAAGAAGTGGTAAGGGTGTAGTGATTTGAGTGAGAGAGTTTTGAGAATGTGAGTGATGGAAAGAAGGGAAGATTAGAGAGTGTGTTGTAGTGTGTGTGTGTTTTGTGTGTTTTTTGGTTAGTTGATGTATGTGAGAGTTTTGTGTGTGTATGATTGTGTGTTGTGTGTGTTGAGATGAAAGTGTTGTTTGGGTTGTTTGTTTTTGTGTTGGTGATATTTTGTTTGTTTGTTTTATTTGTGTTGTTTGTGTTTGTTGAGTGTTGTGTGTGAGTGTTTGTTTTGTGTGTTTTGTGTTTGTGTATGTGTGTTGAAGTGGTTGAGTGAGTTTGTGTCGTTGTCATGTTGTTTGTTGTGTGTTGTTTGTGGTGTGTAGAGTGTAGATTGTAGTGGATGAGAGATGTGTTGATGTGTTTGGTGTAATGTTTTATGTGAGTGGATTGAGAGTGTGTTGTGTGTGTGTGTGAGTGGAAGTGTGAGTGTGTGTTTATGTTTTTGTTGTAGTGTTGGGTGTGTGTTTGTGTGTTTTGTGTTGTGTTTTGAGATTTGTGTTGTGTTTTTTGTTGTGTGTGTGTGTTGTGTTGGTTGTTTTAGTGAGTATTTTGTGTGTGTGTTTTTGTTGTGAGTTGTGTTGTGTGGGTGTTTTGTTTGTGTTTTGTGGGTTTGTTGTTGTTTGTGTGTGAAGTGAGTGGTTAGATAGATGTAGATGTGAGTGATGAGAAGAAGTGTAGGTTGTTTGTGTAGAGAGTTGAGATTGTGTATTTTTTTTTATTTGTGTTTGGTGTTTGTTGGGGGTTGTGTTTTGTGTATGGTTTGGTTGGGGGGTGTTTGTTTGGGGTTTGGGGGGGGGGGTTAGGTGGGGGGTGGGTTATGGTGTAGTGGTGGTGTTTGTGTTTGTGGTGTTATAGTTGTTGTTTTTGTGTGTTTGGGGTTGTTGTGTTTTTTTTTTGTTTTTGATTGATGTTGGTGGTTGTTTTTGTGGTTAGGGTGTGGGGTTGTTTGTTTTTTGTGGTGAGGTTGTGGGGGTTGGTTGTTTTTGGTGTTTGGGGTTTTTGGGTATGTGTGGGTGTTGGTTTTGGGGGGGGGTGTTTGTTGGGTTGGGTTTTTTTGGTGTTTTTTTGGGGGTTTGTTAGGTTTTTTTGGAATGTTTGTTTTTTTTGTGGTTTGCCCAGAGTCAGGACTAAACATGGGGAGGCTGCTTTTCAGATTCATGCTGCTAAAATCTGGAACAATCTTCCTGAAAGTGTGAGACAGGCCTCCTCTCTGACAATGTTTAAAACCAGGTTAAAGACAGATCTGTTTAGCTGCAGAGAACTGAGGGATTTTATATTTTTATCTTTCTTTTTAATGTTCTGTGAATATTTATGATTTTAATGCTTTCTTATTTTGTTCAGCACTTTGAGTTGCCTTGTGTATGAATTGTGCTATATAAATAAACTTGCCTTGCCTTGCCTTAGCCGTCTGTAAACTCTGGTCCATGATCATTTCCTACATGTACAGCTGGTCTTACCATGTGTAACCTCTGGTCCATGGTCTTCAGGACTAGACCTGGGGAGGCAGCGTTTCAAATTCATGTGGTCAGAATATGGAACAGTCTTCGGCCTCGTCCCTGGTTTAAGTCCAGACTGAAAACGGAGCTATTCATACGAGTAGTTTGAAGCAATTACTTTAACGTTCTTCACTTTTAATGTTTATTTTTTTTCAATAGGTTTTAAATGTATATACACTGTTTTAATGTTTTATTGTCTGTCTTTTAATTGATTGTGAAGCACTTTGGGTTTTAATCTAAATCTGACACATTGTGACGGTGTTAAAACCAGATTCTCCAATGAGACAAAGCCATTTAGTTTCATTTCAAGAACTGTTGCTTTATTTTCTGACATTGCTGTATCTTTTTAAAACAAGATCACGTTGGATTATCTTGTTTTAAGGCTCATTCAGAATCTGCTCAATTTAAGACACATTTTGCCAAATTTGAGCGATTTCTGACTTATTTTTCGTTGCTTTTTGCAGTGTTGAACCTACATCCACATCTAACAACCCATCTGCACGTCTCTGCAGTAAAACCTCCCGCTTTAATTGTGCAAATAGCAGTGACTAATTGATTATTCATAGATGCTCCAAAGCCTGAGCTCCGTGTGTCTCTGCCCACAGGCCGTCTGCCACAACACTGCTCCGAAACAACTCAAAATACCACTGAAAAAAACATATTATTTACTAATCCCTGCTCTGCCCCCAGGATGTGCCTTCCTGACGTACTGCGCCCGCGAGTCCGCTCTCAAAGCCCAGAATGCACTGCACGAGCAAAAGACACTACCAGGGGTAAGTCTGTTGTTTTTAACCTATTCTCATGAAAAGCTGTGGGAAAAGTCGTGTGTTTTCGCCGGATTCATGTGGATTTTAATGTTATTTAGATTCACTGTGGATTTAAAAAGGAGCAGTGTGTAAACATGTGGCCAAAAGTGGTACTGCAGCCTCTCCCACTCTCCCTGACTCAGGTTGCCAGATATGCAGACGAATCCAGCTGGGACCATAACAGCTGAATAGACAAGAGTTTTGTCAACAACAAATCTATAACCAACACCTTTTTCACAAAGATAGAAATCCTGGTTTTATTCCTTGTTTTGTCGTTAATGATTTGAGAATCATAACGAGACCTTTTTTAGTTCTGCGCCATATGGTATTTACGGATTAGGGCCCTTTAATGATGACAGATTAGGGCGCTTTAATGAGGACAGATTAGGGCCCTTTAATGAGGACAGATTAGGGCCCTTTAATGATGACAGATTAGGGCGCTTTAATGAGGACAGATTAGGGCCCTTTAATGAGGACAGATTAGGGCCCTTTAATGATGACAGATTAGGGCCCTTTAATGATGACAGATTAGGGCCCTTTAATGAGGACAGATTAGGGCCCTTTAATGATGACAGATTAGGGCCCTTTAATGATAACAGATTAGGGCCCTTTAATGATGACAGATTAGGGCCCTTTAATGAGGACAGATTAGGGCCCTTTAATGATGACAGATTAGGGCCCTTTAATGATGACAGATTAGGGCCCTTTAATGATGACAGATTAGGGCCCTTTAATGATGATTTGACATGAAAATCTTACATATTACTACTTTAATTGAAGAAATGGAGAAGAAACATGCCTGTAGAAAGAGGAGCCAATGGAGGTCTGTGTTTGAGACCTAACCCTAACCAGAGAGAGACCAGAGAGAGACCAGAGAGAGACCAGAGAGAGACCAGAGAGAGACCAGAGAGAGACCAGAGAGAGACCAGAGAGAGAGACCAGAGAGAGAGACCAGAGAGAGACCAGAGAGAGACCAGAGAGAGACCAGAGAGAGACCAGAGAGAGACCAGAGAGAGAGACCAGAGAGAGAGACCAGAGAAAGACCAGAGCTACATTTAGTCTAATTAGGTCAATAATCGAGGATTTGGCAAGATCTTGTGACAATCTTCTGTCTGTAAAAGCAGGAGGTCTGTGTTCCGTCCCAATTTAGACCTTTCTCACAATCGATGTAAACGCAGTGTCGTTGTAACGTCGTGGTTCAAGTGAAAGGAAAGTGGCTCTGATTGGTGAACTCCTCCTGTCAATCACAAAGAGCCCGCAGGCCGGAGGCGGAGCCAGTGAAGGGCTGGGTTTAATTAAGTGAGTTAAATTAAGTGGTTATTTTCTGACAAAAGTCTTAGAGTCAGACCTGAGTTTGACGCATTCTGACGGTTTCTTCTTGTATGAATTATGAAATAGAAAAGATGCATGGATTAGGAGGAAGATAGATCAGATTAGGAATGAGAGAATTGTGTTTTTGCCCGACAACAAGACGAAAGACAAATCTTCATAATCTTAAACCAAAATAATTTTCTTCAAATTTAAGTGATTTTTCTGCTTTTCTTCATTCCCTACGATGTTTGCAAAGAACTTGAATAATTGCGGTCTTTTGTGAGTTGCAAATTACAACAACAAAAATTGCGATTTTGATTGGCTTGCTGAAACTAGTGCAGCTTTAGTTGGATGGATGATAAAGTCTGAATCACAGGTTTGTGGCACGTGTTGTAAAAAAGCCTTTTGACAGTTTCTCCCTGATAACATTTGTACACGCACACGCACACGCACGCACACACACACACACGCGCACACACGCACACACGCGCACACACGCACACATGCACACACACACACACACACACATATACACACACCTAATAGTAATAACGTATTTTATTTATAACGCACCTTACATATGCAAACACATCTCAAGATGCAACAACAAGTCAAAAACACTATCATAACATCAGAACACACACACACACACACACACAGAGACACACACACGCACCCACACACACACACACACACACACACACAGAGACACACACACGCACACGCACACACACACACACACACACACACACACACAGACACACACACACAAATACACAGGCTTTGACATGCAGGCCTGACTTCCCCTTTAGCCAATACATGCTCTTATAAAGGTCAGTCTTCTCCCCCCCCCCTCTCCCCCCCCCCCCCCCCCCCCCTCCCCGCTGTTCCTCTCCCTCCCCCTCCCCGCTGTTCCTCTCCCTCCCCCCCCCCCGCTCCGCCCCCCCTCCCTTCATGTTTCATATGTGATGCATCCAGACATATCCATCCAGTTTATCCAGAGTCACAGCGCTGCATGTCACGAGTCCAAACAGACGAGCGGACGCAGAGTTGAAGCAGCTGCGATTGTGTGTGATGTTCTTCCTCTGCTCCTCTGAATCCTAATCAAAGCTAAGCAGGTATTAGCATAGCCAGGCAGCAGGTATTAGCATAGCCAGGCAGCAGGTATTAGCATAGCCAGGCAGCAGGTATTAGCATAGCCAGGCAGCAGGTGTGCAGCCAAAGCACATCTGCAGACAGAGATGTGACGTGACGGGCGGGTCGCTATGATAACAGACAGAGACAAGCGAGAGAGACCAGAGAGAGACAGGAGAGAGACCAGAGAGAGACCAGAGAGAGACAGGAGAGAGACAGAAGAGAGAGAGACCAGAGAGAGACCAGAGAGAGAGACCAGAGAGAGAGGAGAGAGAGATCAGAGAGACCAGAGAGAGATCAGAGAGACCAGAGAGAGATCAGAGAGAGGAGAGAGAGACCAGAGAGAGAGGAGAGAGAGACAAGAGAGAGACCAGAGAGAGACCAGAGAGAGACAAGAGAGAGAGACCAGAGAGAGAGACCAGAGAGAGAGAGATCAGAGAGACCAGAGAGAGATCAGAGAGACCAGAGAGAGATCAGAGAGAGGAGAGAGAGACCAGAGAGAGAGGAGAGAGAGACAAGAGAGAGACCAGAGAGAGACCAGAGAGAGACAAGAGAGAGAGACCAGAGAGAGAGACCAGAGAGAGAGAGATCAGAGAGACCAGAGAGACCAGAGAGAGGAGAGAGAGACCAGAGAGAGATCAGAGAGAGGAGAGAGAGACCAGAGAGAGACAGGAGAGAGAGACCAGAGAGAGAGGAGAGAGAGACCAGAGAGAGACAAGAGAGAGACCAGAGAGAGACAGGAGAGAGACAAGAGAGAGAGATCAGAGAGAGAGGAGAGAGAGACCAGAGAGAGACCAGAGAGAGACAAGAGAGAGAGATCAGAGAGAGCAAATGAAAGACAAGGAGACACTGTGTGCTCTGCTTCTGTCTCTTTGGGTTATTTTGATGGATATCTATCATTCTGTTCTTTGTTGTGGTGTTAATCCCACAGGACTGTTTCTCCTGATGAGAAACCCAGACCCTCTCTTTCTCTGGTCTCTCTCTCTGGTCTCTCTCTGGTCTCTCTGGTCTTTCTCTGGTCTCTCTCTCTGGTCTCTCTCTGGTATCTCTCTCTGGTCTCTGGTCCCTCTCTCTGGCCTCTCTCTGGTCTCTCTCTGGTCTCTCTCTGGTCTCTCTCTCTCTGGTCTCTCTCTGGTCTCTCTCTCTGATCTCTCTCTGGTATATCTCTCTGGTCTCTCTCTCTGGTCTCTCTCTGGTCTCTCTCTCTGATCTCTCTCTGGTATATCTCTCTGGTCTCTCTCTCTGATCTCTCTCTGGTATATCTCTCTGGTCTCTCTCTGGTCTCTGGTCCCTCTCTCTGGTCTCTCTCTGGTCTCTCTCTGGTCTCTCTTTT